TACTATTCGGGCAGCTAAGAGGAAGTCAGTTAACTTAATGTCTCATTGTTCTTCGTGACACAGGTGTTAATGACTCTCTCTCCTTTTTAAGGGTCTTGATGCTCAGCTAATTGAGCTAACCTTTCTTAGGGCAATTCTGCTGCCCGCTAGCTGTCTTTCTTCTTCTACTTCACAGCTTTGGAGACTCTTTAGTTTTTTTCCAAATCATATATCTACCCATGGAAACCAGCATTCAGCAACAACTAGGGTTTCAGCTTCAGTTAAGCAGGACAGAAAGGGCAAGTCAGCTGAAGGTTAAGTCCCTGCTCTATGCTGCCATAAATCTGGAAAATTATTTTTCCCCTTCATTCTGCCTTTCAACAGCAAGGTGCATATTATACTCTACAGTGTGTTGTAGTCAAGAAAATATGGTAACATGCAGGCACCATGGCAGAGGCAGGGTATAAGGGATGATGTATAAAAGGGATCCAGTGATAATGGCCTTATGAACTTAGATGGGAAATTCTGCCTAATTGCAACAGACAGCTTAGGAGAAAGCATGGAGGTCTAACAAAGCAATAGGGATCATGGCTGACATTGCTGGCAGAACTACAGCAGACATCAATTTCCCGATAAGAAACCAGACGGGGAAAATCCAAAGAGCAAACAGGCACAAAGGTGAGGGCATCTGTGGGGGGCTGATGTTGTGCCGTCTCCCCGCCCACGGGATCATGTCACCCCCGTACAAAACAGACGGAGAGTTACCCTCGCAGACCATGTTCTTACCAAGGGCTCCAGCTCCCGGTGGTCGATGAGACTGAACTCCCTGATGAAGTAGTAGAAGTGCTTGTAGCAGGTGTTGACGTGTGCTTCAGCGCCCATGCTGATGATGCTGTCGAAGTGGTGGATGTAGACGTGGACGAAGACTCGGAAGAGGCGGGTGAGGATCTTGGTGCACACCTGCTGGAAGTTCTTGGGGAAGGGGATCCCTGCAAGACAGACACAAAAGGAGCCACTGGCAGGTCTCATATGCCTCTCAATTCCCAAGCAACAAACGTGCTGAAAGCCCGAGTGCATTATCATCTTAGTAACAATACAGAGTAATTCTCACCATGGCTCATTGCACTCATCGTAATCATCTCGCTGTTACCTTGTGCATCCCCGTTTGTTTTCCTGTAGCCACCTGTTGCCTCTCACATTACACTGAAAACCTAATTCTGTAAAGATTAATTCACACGCTTAACCGTAGGCACTGAGAGTTGTTTCACCGCGGTCAATAGGAAGTTCCCTGCTGAGTTTGTTAAACAAGCACTTGATTGGGATAGTTTAGCTAGCAAAGATCCTGCCTTGAGCATGGGGTTGGGCCAGACACAACTTCCTCAAGTCCCTTTCAGTCCTATTACCATAATATATCACATACAACATGCACCCCCTTTTTCATAAAAGCAGCTTTTCAAATTGCAGTGTTCATTATATATGTTAATATGGTAATAGGCTATAAGGTCATAGCAGTTTCTGTATCCTAGGCCTCTGCGGGGGGAGGGGCATGGGAGAGGAGGAAGGTGCAGGAGAAATAACAGAGCCAGAAAACAAGCATGCTGGGATCCCTAGCTGATGCTATTAGTTATTTCCTGATACTTTTCAAGGAAAGATTTTTTTTCTTCATTCTTTCTTTCAAAAGCAAGGTGTGTCTCTTACTCCAGGGCATGTTGTATATGAGATAATACAGTATTCTATGAGTTTAACAGGTTTTGCATCAGACTCCAGTCTACCAACCCCCCTCCCCCAAAAAGAAACAAAATCCAGATTATTTTCTTTGGCAAGAAATAAGGAAAATGACTGTCCCCTGGGAAGCGAAGTTAGGAACACGGGACCTGAAAGGGTCTCAAAGGCTGCTAGAAATATAAGGAAAAAAAATTCACCAAATAAAACCCCCCAAACATTCAAAAAAGTCTCTGGATTGGTAATACTGAAACAGGTAGTTTTGATGCTGTAGAGGGAAACACTTAGTTTTTAAATATCAAGAGGCTGTCTTGAGTTTAGTTTCAAGCAAACTGAGTCAAGTGCAAAGCACAATTTTTCCATTTCAATCTGCCTCACTGGAAAATGACAAAATTTTTTCTTGCAAAAAAAAATCACTATTGGTAAAATTATTTTCCAATGGAAGCATTTTTCAGCATTAAGAGGGAAAAAAAGGCCAGCCCTATTCAGACTATGTCAAGTTAAGCACATGCATCAGTTTTTCCAGGATTAATCATACCTTGGATTATAATTTCTTTTGTTAAGTGACTGTCCTTTCCTTCAGCAGATATACAGCACCTAGCACAACGGACACAAGCCCAC